TTTTTGCTCAAAGAGCAGGTTCTGAGAACTCACCACCGCAGTGCACTTCCCAAGATTAATTAATTTGGTCAGCTCTGGCTCTGTGAACAACAGCTCCTCCCATCTGCTATTGAAACCTTCTGTTTCAGCCAATCAGAGGGCAGCCAATCAGAAGAAAGCAGGTTTTTAGGGAAGCATTGCAGGCCAGGTACAAGATAAAAAATTATTATTTTAACTGTTATTTACATAAAGATACTCTAGTAAAGCCCATAAGTAAAAACATGGAGCTGGAAATGAGCAGATAGCGGGTCTGTTGTATATTCTCGTCTCTGGTGGCTCAAAATCTCTTAAATTTCATACCGTAGTTGAAGTGGAGGAAAATGACTTTAATACGTTTTTGAGGCGTGCAACAAAAAAAACAACTATGTATATTTATTACCACAGCACTGTACTGCAGTTACATTGCTATAGATCTGCTGCACAGAGACATACGGCACAGTTTACTCAACTATGCTGTAACTTTACTTGTTAAGACTTCACATAAACATATTGCAAGCTTATAAAATCAACTATCTGATTTTATGAGTACCAACACTGTCGTGAGAGGTGACTGGGCATTGATTTGTCAGGATATTCTAATACTTTGTTTGAGGATTACATATCTGGTGACTTTTCGTTACAACACATGCTAATGTGAGAGTAAGCAGATGAATATTTTAAATGTAAATGCGACTTCTGGCCATCACATGGGTTTTGATCAGCTTTAAACAAAAAATAACATCGATTTCACAGCCACAAAATATCTAAACTTTAAAAACCCTATGGTTTAGATGTATAATTCCACTTATTTTTGGAATAAATGTCTTTGTATAGGGACTAGCCTTTATTAAAAGAGCATGTGGCGTTTAGCAGGTGCTACAACATCAATGAAAACATACAAAATCCATGTGATAGACGTTAGCTAGAAGCTAACTCTGAGTCAAACTAGCTTGAATCGCGACTTAACATCTAAAAGAGAAATGAAGACATACCTGTTCTTGAAGAGGCGTCAGGTGATGAAGAAGGCTGAGCAATAAACGGCTGTCACTACGCGCAAAAAAACAAATATTGAAGATTTGTATTCCCCTAAACGTCGCATGGATCGCCTGTGAGAAACGAGCTACTTCTACGGAAAGTGAAAAGGGACAAATGTGATCCAGGTTGCCCTTTTCTTCTTCTTCTTCTTCAGTCAAGTTTAACGGCAGCTTGCATCCAAAACTGTTGCATTACTGCCAGGTTGCCCTTTTTTTTTTTAGCTACTCTACCTTTGTGGTGTTCACGGTGTTTTTCTTTCACATCTTCCGCAGATAGACAAATAGTAAAATTTTAGATTTTTTTCCACCCCTTCTTAGATCTCTACAGAATTCCGTGAACTTTCCCATTGTTTTGAGTGTCGGTCAGTCCAGTGAGAGCTAATCGCAAATCCTTTTTATGCTACACCCACCAGTTGCAGTCAATCATGATCACTAATGAGAAATTAACAGGCCTTGACTATTTCAAGTCATAAGACATTATAGAACCCTCAGCGCTACTTATTAAAGATTTAAATGAGTGTATGTACATATTGGGCCTGTATGTATACTGTTGACACTGTGTGGATTAGAGAAAATCCTAAATATAATATAACATAAAATCTTCTGTCAAAGTACAGACGCATAATCTTGTTTTAAGGGCAGACCACATCTCTGAAGCACAGCCTCCAGCAGTGCCTGTGAAGAGATGTGATGTTTGTGACATTTCCACCACTGTGTTGTCTGACCTTTTCTATCACAGTCTTTGAACTGGCCCCAACAGGGAATTAAAAAACAACAAACAGAGGAGGATACAGGTCAAAAGGGAAAGCCAGGAGCATCTCTGAGCAGATGCTCCTGTATAACCTGAGCTGTTTAGATCAGGTAAGTGACTGGTGTAACTCATTTTTCTGCTGCTAACTTTGGTGTCATAGGAGTACGTTTTTGTTGTTTTTCTGTGTTTTTGCTCTCAAGACAATGTCAGGAAAGATGTGCAGCAGCAGCAGCAGTGTTATTCAGGCACAAAAACTGGTGGATCAACTTCGGGTAGAGGCAAGCATGGAGAGATTCAAGGTGGGTAAGAATCTAAATCATCTGTTAATTTGCTTTATAGAGGTGGGCAGATTGATATAAAAATTAATTGTATCGATACCAATGCTGGTATCGGTATTGGATTGAGACTAAGCATGATATGGTCGATATTTGTTTCCATCCTCTACGTTCAGTATGTAGATCACTAAATTGTATTAAATTAATGCTTTTGTGTGTGTGGGGGGGGGGGTAAAAAAAACCCTATAATTTAAACATGCGCTATGAATGATGTCTTAATCTTTTTGTGTTTATTGTCACATCAGTTTTATTTAAAGCCTGCGGCACATTTAGACAACAGAAGCAGATCCAGAGTGCTTTAGACACATACACATTTACATCCCAGGTCTCCCAAAAACAGTTACAAAATACATAGAAATCTGAAATGGTCATTTCAGTGGTCATTAAGATGTGTTCAGAATTTGAAAATGTATGATTCATCTGGTTGAATTTATGACACACTGGCCTCCCGACATAAGCTGCCGACATAAGTTAAAGGTATCAGTATCTGTATTTAGCTGGTATTGGATCAATATTAATTTTTAGTATCACACAGGACTATCATTTTATACTTTAATTGCTAAATTGCCAAAGTACTGAATATATATATATGTATTTTTTATAAAAACTTCCCATGCTCACTGTCCAACAGTTTTTCATACTTGTGTCTAAAATCCAGTCAACTCTCTGCCCCTGCAGATCTCTCTGACAGCAGCAGATTTAGTCCAGTACTGTCAGGAGCACAGGCGCAGTGACCCCCTGCTTACTGGCATAGCTGCTTCATCCAATCCCTTCAAAGATAAGAAGACCTGTTTGATTCTTTGACAGCTCCCAGACGGCGCTGTGAGGAAAACCTCTGTCCGAGAACGCAACCACGAACATGTACTGTGTAAAAGATACTACATGTTCTCATCTGGAAAATCACGAAACAATCCACACACTTGATTTTTAGAACTTTTAATGCTGTCTTCTGTGGAAACAGTCTCTCAGCATGTTTGTAAATGGATTTTTGGTCAATAGTAAAAACACACACAGCATATGGACACAAATAATAACACTTTCCTGACTGTATTCAATTAAATAGCTATAGAAATACAATCAGTTTGTCACAGAGCAATAATTAGTTTACTGTACATGAAATGTTTAAGTAATTTTTCTTGTATAATGCCAGTTTACATATGAGATTCAATAAAGGTATTATAATTACAAACATTTACATGTCTGTGGTTTCAGTGCTGTTTGAACACTTAAAGTGTCCTTAAGAGTGATTCAGTGAGTTTTGGCACAAAATGAACATTTTTGGGGTAAACAATGAAAATAAACATTTGCTTTTCCTTCCATAGAAAAATCTTTTCAGTGGATCAAACAAGATAGAAATAAAAAAAATAAAAATATAATGTGAGGGTTTGTGACAAGACTAAAATACCTGAAATATCCTCCACCACATATTTACAACTAAATTAAACAACTGAAAGCAGTCATTTCAAAATAGTTCACTTAAAAATTAAAAATAACCTGATTGGTCATCATCTGTCGTCATTTCTTCCCTTCTGTGTTTGTCTGTTTACTCAGCACTTACATGACTGTTGATGTAGCCAGCCTTCCAGGCAACGGCAGCTTCTTTATTTACCTTTGTTGATTTGTATAGAGACACAGAACAACACAACAAAGACCAGGGTTCCTGTTTTCATTGTTACCATGTATTTTCTTCCACTTCATTTTCGAGGCCTCCACACTTGCACCCTGACGTCACCGGACGCTATAGCAAGGACTCCGGCCTCCACGCTCAGCTGAAAGTTTTCACACAGTGCAGTGAGAGAAACGAGAGGGAGAGAGAAGACACATGAACGATGAAAAGAAGCCCACATTAATAAAGTTAAAATATCATCACTGATGCCCAGAAAGAGAGAACTGTCAGTACTTTTGCGATCACTAACATTGAATTCCTCCAAAACAGTTCAAAATGTGTCATCCTTGATCAGAGTATGACCTCCCTAAAGGAAACTATAGCAACCCCTTCAGCTACTGCAAAACTGACAGATCCTAACCAAAACCAGAAAGAGAGCAAATATAAAACCAGTTTTAAAGTCTCTGCATTGGCTTCCTGACAAGTTTTATACGGTGCGTGTTTGCTGGGTTGATTTTTTTTTTTTTGCACATGTTGTTGTTCTGTAAACCATTCTGAGCTACGAAGTTGTATAAAAAAGTTGCTATATAAACAAAGTGTTGACTGACTGCACAGCACTCACCCCATGGACTCCAGTTTGATAGTGCAGGGTGCTTAACGTCCTCGGAGGCGCGCATGGTATATGAACCTGTAGCGCAGGCGGAAAAATTACAATTCAAGACTTTCAAGACATTCAGTAGCAAAGTTCCAGCAGCTTAAGGTAACGAAGAATTCTCTCACCTTGACGGTGCAATCAGATGAACAGGTGTAGAGGCTACCGGGGGATCTGTGGATGCCGGTGATCAGAGCTGTGTGCCCCACATCAAACTGAGAGACAGGCTTTAAGGTCCCCGCCTGCATGGAAAAGGAGTGGAGCATGCCGCCGTTGTCTCCTGCCCATACTTCACAGCCACTGTAGCTCATGGACAGCAGGTAGGAGCTCAGCTGTAAAGTGGTGGGGTGAGTGGAGTTAGTGGCTTGGTGTAAAGATGGATATGAGTATGTTTACAAAAACACAAGCTCTTCAAGAAATCTACCCGAAGTCTCTTCAAGCCTTTGCCCGCTCTGCGGTCATAGACAGCCACAGTGCAGTCTTTGCTCCCTGAGATGATGTATTTGTCATCTGCACAGAGGCACATTACGGCGTTACTGTGCATACGGATGCTTTTCACCAGTGGTGCAGCAGCTGTGGACAAAAACAGACAGAACCCACCTCAGCAAGTCATTTGTCTAGATAACTGCTTTGCATTTACTAAACTCTTGACTCTCATGTGCACTTTCTACACAGCAAAACAAGCTTCATATAAATCCCTCTCACCTCTGGTGTCATACATGCTGACCCGCTTGTCAAATGTACCAGCCAGCAACATGTCGGGCTGACAGGACAAGCAGAGAACAGCAGCCCCGGTCCTGATGAGGGCCCTATCTGCACCTCCTGCCTGCAGGTCCCACAGCCTCACAGTGCTGTCAAAGCCCCCTGAGGCCAGCAGAGGTCCTTGAGATGCCAGGCACCAGACCCAGCCTCGATGGCTGCTAAAATCACCCTGCCGTCCCATCGTTTGCAGCAGTGATCCCAGCTCCAGATCCCAGAGCTTTACGTTCCAGTCTCTGGAAGCTGTGGCACAGACCTTCCCCTCTCCCCCAAGAAGGAGGACCGAGTTTACATGGGCAATGTGGCCTGTAGGCAGGGTAATGCATTCCAGCGCTGGTGGTGGGCTTGGACTTCTTGCCTCTACATGTTGCCCATTACCCAGATTCCTGTGGTCTGGCAAGTCTTCTTGGTGATTAAGAACTGCGTCTCGGCCCTCGTTGGCAATAAAAACCCTTCTGTGGTCCATTTCTTCTTCCATTAGTGCTGCAGCATCACCCTCTAGTCTGTCTTCAAGCTCTTCTCTCAATCTCGCTACTTGGTCCCCACCTAAGACGTGCTGCATTTCACCCTCTTCACCTTCCACTGCCACCTCCATTGCCTCATCCGCACCATAAGCAACCTCCTGCACTGCCACTCCGACCTGACCCTCTCCACCATCATCCTGGCCTCCCACACCAGGCTCCCCATCCTGAGGCATCGCTTGCTCCCTTCTCTCCTCATCCTCCTGGTTTTGTCTGGCTACATGCTCAACTTCACCTGACCAGCAGGTTATGAGCTGTTCCATCTGCAGGCAGGCACCAGGCCAGTCAAAGTCCTCCCTTGGCCCCACTGGAAAAGCAGCTCTCAATCCCACCAACCTCTGTGCTCGGAGCTGCCAGGAGGTTCTGTCCTGCCCCACGTTACTCAGCGCATGGCAGACCTGAAACATGAAGGGGAAGGCATTGAAGGACATTTAAACATCTGCATGAGACAAATGTGGCCATGTGCCAAACATCTGTATTTTCCTGATTCATCTTTAACCCTTTCCCCCCCCTTTTGGACGCCTGCTATGGGTAATTTTTGTTTCTCTTTGTTGACCTGAGCAGTTTCTGTCATATTTCAGGGCTGCTTCCAGAAGTTTGCGAGGGTGATCTCTGCCCATGCAGCTTACTAGGGATACCCTTCGAAAAACACAGTGCCCATTCTAATGGTTGTCAAACCAGGTCTTTATTGACATATACAGAGGTGTTAAAACTCATCTTTAAAGATACCGGGGAGCCCATCAAATGTTGTCTTTACAAAAATAATCAACCGTAAAAAAGGCTTTCAAACTAACCTTTGGCAGCACGTTGACTACAAAGTGAACAGGAAGATATGAGACAATGTGGGTTAATATCTCCCATGGTAAGGACAACAAGCCACTGGACTCAGCTGAAGGTGAGGGGCTGATATCTGCTGAGGATGAGTGGCTGGTGGTCAGCAGACTGAGAAGATTAGATAAACACAGATTAATTATTTTCTTCATGACACTGTGCCACATGAAAACCCAGCTGATTGTGTGAGGCTCACCCATGCAGGTCAGGCCTGGTGGCTTCAGTGCTCCTCACCTGGTCAGGAAATGGCTGCTCACCGCGTACACCTGCCTCGCCTTCCTGCAGCTTATCGCTGACCTCAGACATCACCTTTCTCCTCCAGAAGGCTAACTCATGGACCTTAGACTAACTTTATTTTGTGTTTTAATAAAGGTGGAGCTCTTTAAGCTAAGCTTAGCCTCAACTACACTGATGATGTTCGTATTCAGGGAAACTCTGCCCGAGGAAAGCTTTAGATAGCCGTCACAAATGAACGCTTTCCTTTCCTTGATAGCTGCTAACTGCAATAGAAATACGGCTTTAAAACGCCCAGATAGCGGTTATCTTCCAAGTGTTGGCTGCTACTCCCTAAAAACAAAACCTGAAAGCGTTTACCGCTTCTTAAAACTTACCGCCTGAGTCAGCGTTACTAAAGCGGAATATAAATCGAATTAAAGGCTAATGTAAGGCAGAAGCACCAATTGTTGTTTCTGTCCTATCATCAAACACACACACACACAAACATTCAAACGGCAGTTCCGATGTCGTCATCAAACTGTGCAGCAGAATTACAATTCTATTGGTTGCGATTGGATCAGCCGGTATGAGGGAGGGGGACACCCTCATCGGTGATTGGTGGATACGTTGTCAACGCGACCATCACGGGGAAGACTTTCCTAAAAGCTTTTGCCCGCTATATGTTATCAGTTTTTGTATTTCGCGTGATGGAGGCTTTCTAGAAAAGTTAATACATTTATTTCTGAAATAAATGTATTGAAATAAAATAATATACACATACTTACATATACATATATATATACACACATATATATATATATATACATACATACATATATATATATATATACATACATATATATATATACATACATATATATATATACATACATACACACACATATATATACATACATACATACACACACATATATATACATACATACATACACACACATATATACATACATACACACACACACATATATACATACATACACACATATATACATATACATAAGATTATGGCTCTTAAAGTACCACTCTTATGACCGACATTAAAGTAGTATGCGCCTATTTAACACCATATACAGTTTACACATGACAATTTTATTTCTTATATGAATGAATTTATTT